TATTTGCTTCATTAGACTTTAGGGAGGCACTCTAGGGCCACCTACTGGCCATCTTCGGGAGTTACATTGATAATACATTGTTGATAACAGATAGAAGTAGGATTGCTTACTCTATTTTAATATATTTATTGCTATAAGGTTTTATTTTATGTATAAATATATTAAAAGTTACATTTTATTATTAGACCCATAAAGATTATTTTGATACAATTACCCTCTGGTGACACCTACTGGTAGGTTTTTGGTTTAACACCTTTTAAAAAAAATTAAAAAAAATTTCATCCACCAAATGCTGACTAATAAAATTAGCTCACCCCCTTACACCTATCTTACTACTCCCAGACTGGAACCTATTATTGAGCCGCCTTGCCGAAGTCCCATATTAACCCGACAACTGACTGGTGACCTCCAACCCCGACATTACCAAATGCCCCTCAGACTTACACCAGGCCCAACACACGTGGATGAGAATGGCCAAATACAACGGGCAGATCCAGTGTTTGTATATGTCCCCTTCACTACGACTGATTTATTCAACTGGAAGACTCATAACTCTTCATATACTGACAAACCTCAAGTTATGACAGATTTGGTTACTTCTATTATCCAAACACATAACCCCACCTGGGCCGATTGCCAGCAATTATTATTAACTTTATTTAATTGTGAGGAAAGGACCAAGATTAATCAAGCGGCTATTAAAGTGCTTGAGGAAACGGCCCGTACTCAAAATCAGGCCAATCCGGTTGCATGGGCTATAGCCCATTATCCAAATGTCGATCCAAACTGGAACGTGAATGGTGCTGACATGCCCCAACTAAGAGCTTATCGGGAAGCCATAATTGCTGGCATGAAGGCAGGAGGGAAGAAGGCAATTAATATGTCAAAGACGGCTGAGGTGTTGCAAAAGGTTGATGAGTCACCTAGTGCTTTTTATGAGAGACTGCTTGAGTCAAATAGATTGTACACTCCTTTCCTGAAGCCCCTGAAAACTTCCGAATGATAGACTCAGTATTTGTCAGCCAGGCCCAGAGCGATATTAAGAGAAAGCTACAATAATTAGAGGGATTTGTATGGATGTCCATATTACAGCTAATGGAGATTGCAAATAAAGTATATATGAATAGGGAGACGGAGGTAAAGCGGGAGGAAGAACGTAAGATGAGGAAAAAGGCAGATATGCTAGCGGTAGCTATCTCAAGTGTAGAAAGACAGGGAAGGGAAGTGAATAGAGGAGACGAGAATAGGCTGAGCAAGGGACCTTTAAGTAGGAATCAATGTGCGTATTGTAGAAAGGAGGGACATTGGAAGAGTGAGTGTCCACAGAGAGAGCAGTATGAAGGTGATAGACAAGGAGAGAGAAGGGTACGAGGAGGTTATAGTGGTAGTTATAGAGGAAGAGGAAGTTTTAGAGGGAATGATGTGAATAGTAGAGGAAGTGTTCAAGGAGACAAATACTATCCACCCACGCAGAGACCTAGAGAAAGAGAGGATAGAGATTTTGTGGGTCTGGCTGATACTATCATGGAAGACTATTGATACCGACTGGGCTCCATTTCCACTTGGTCAAGCGGAGCCTATGGTCGATGTAGCAATAGGGGGAAAGAGAAGTTCTTTCATGATCGACACAGGTGCTGAACATTCTGTGGTGACTAAGATGGTGGCTCCGCCTTCGGGGAAGACTATAACTGTCATAGGAGCTACTGGGAGAAGTGCAGCTAGACCGGTTCTTAAGAGTCACACTTGTATTCTGGTGAAGCATTAGTTCCTATATATGCCAGAGTGTCCGATTCAACTTTTAGGACGAGATCTATTATCGAAGCTTTAAGCTCAGATAACCTTTTACCTAATGGATCAACATCTCTGAAGTTTAAGGGATTACCAGGCATAATGGCGATATCGGTGCCAAGGGAAGAAGAATAACGCTTCTATTCCATAGTGACAAGTGTTAACCCTAAGAGTGATGAATCCTTATTTGACATTCCAGGAGTATGGGCAGAAAATAATCCTCCAGGACTTGCTCGTAATATCCCACCAATACATATTGAGTTAAAGCTCGGGGTGTATCCTGTTAGCCTTTGTATGTTGTTCTTTTATCTACCCCAACAGCTGTAAAGGTGGCGGAAGTGACTCCTTGGATTCATCATTCTAAGGTTAAACCAGCGGCAGACTCTTGGCAAGCTACTCCAGATCCTGAGAATCCTTGCAGGATCCGGTTGAAGCGCATAACCCAGTTGGATTGAACATGTCGTGAGAAAAAGTACAAGGGGATATCGAGACATTCTAGTTAAAAGTTTACAGAGATCATCAAGTAGGTGTTTTGACGGCCATAATAAAGCCTGACCACCTGCATACGTGTCATAGCCAGAGTATCTCGAAGGGATCTCTGTGAAGGAAAGTGAGGATCAGAAGAACAACATCCTTGCAGCCCTCACAATCGGGAAGCTGAGAGGCCATCGCACGGTCGAAGAAAAATGAGGATTTTAGGAATAATGTGTTTTATTATGTCTTAGTATTTTTATGATTTTTCAGGAAGGTAGGAGTACAGACATACCGAATTGCGATAGTTGCATTAAGACTACTAAAACAGGTAACCAAATATCCCAAACTCTCATCTGGCACTCACAGTATGAATGTAAGGGATCTGTATCTAAATGTAGATATTTGGATATTGATTATAGTGTGTGCAAGCCAATATCAGGAGAGTCTAAATGTTTCGATCCCCAATTCCAACCCCGTACAATTTGGTTGGTAATTCGGAATAGTAACTCCCAGGGGACATTAATAAATAGGACTGTGATAAGCACCATACATTCCACGAGTATTCTATTATTTGATGCATGTAAGGCGATTTCGGGTAGTGGAAGACCTTGGAATGTATGTGGTAATCTTAAATGGGAACGAACTTATGGGTTTAATGATAAATACTTATGTCCCAGTAAAAGATCTACTGATCCTGATTGCCCAAATAGAGACTTTAACTTCTGCCCCTATTGGTCATGTATAGGTTGGGCGACCTGGGGAAAGACAGTAGATCAAGATATGATTATCCAAAGGTTGCCTACCACACCATACTGTAAAACTATGTGTGTAACCCTGTTCACATGACCATTTCCAATCTGCAGCACTTTATTGACAGGTTCGGAGGTCTGTTTGGGTTCCAAATATATGGCACAGGAGTAGATTCAGGAACAATAATATATGTAGGTCTTGAAACTGAGACAGTGGCAACTCAAACTCATCAGGTTTCTCATTCCTTCTATGAGGAGATGAGTGTTGAGGATAAAATTCCCCATAATGTTAAGAACCTATTTATTGATTTGGCTGAGGGTATTGCAGGTAGTCTTAATGTAACTAATTGCTATGTGTGTGGAGGCACTAATATGGGAGACCAGTGGCCATGGGAGGCAAAGGAAATATGGTGCCCTGGCTCTGAGACATATGAACAACAGATACCTTTCCAGTCTGATCATCAAGTAAGTACTAGAAGTAAATTGGAATGGTGGTTAAAAACCTCCATTATAGGTCATGTTTGTATAGCCAGGAAAGGGACAATGTATAACACGTCTGTAGGTGAGCTAACTTGCTTGGGACAAAAAGCCTATAATGTTAATACTAAAAATACTACTTGGTGGTCAGCTTCAAATGTCTCGGAGCCTACTAATCCGTTTGCCAATTACACTCATTTAAAGGAGGTATGGTTTGACTTATCGGCTACATCTAGTTGGAAAGCCCCAGCAAATTTACACTGGATTTTTGGTAAGAAAACTTATTCGGAGTTACCACAAGATTGGGAAGGGGCATGTGTATTAGGTATGCCAAAGCCATCCTTCTTCTTGTTGCCAATTGAGACAGGAAAGACCTTGGGAGTTAAGGTTTATGATGTAAATCATAAAAGGGAGAGAGCATCCTTGAATATAGGTAGCTGGAAGATGATGAGTGGCCCCCTCAACGTATTATTAATTATTATGGACCTGCTACTTGGGCAGAAAATGGCACTTATGGATATAGAACTCCGATATATATGCTCAACCGGATTATTAGACTACAGGCGGTAGTTGAGATTATCACTAATGAGACAGCACAAGCGCTTAATCTTCTAGCTAAGCAAAATACTAGGATACGATCAGCCATATACCAGAATAGGCTAGCCCTTGACTACTTACTAGCAGTAGAAGGAGGTGTATGCGGAAAGTTTAATCTAAGTAACTGCTGTCTGCACATAGATGATGAAGGGCAGGCAGTGGCTGAATTTACAAGCCACATGGTTAAATTTGTGCATGTACCTACTCAGGTCTGGAATGGGTATAACCCAAGTAGTTGGTTTGGAAGTTGGTATGAGCAGCTTGGAGGAATTAAGACATTAGTAGGAGGAGTAGAATTTATTATATATTTTTTGTGCCTCCTCCTGCCCTGTCTAATTCCACTAGTGGTCAGGTCCCTACGTAGTATTATAGAGAGTACTATAGAGAGAAAGACAGCTGCCCATGTAATGGCTGCCTGGAAGATATGATCCCCTAGCCCAAAGAGAATATATTCAGGATGAGGAATGTTGAAGGAGTTTTTAAGATGCTTACAAGGTCTACCCTGGTTCAATGGCTACTTGAGAGATGTAGGTAAAACTGTGATTGGTGATGCATCTGGAATAAGTTATATCAGAGGCATCAAAGGGGGGAATGTGATGGGATTCCAGCATGGTCAAAATTTAGTAGGCCAAAATCTCCATGTGGCATATGTGTATGTTGTGTCAGTTAGTTAGCTATATGTAGCAAGGATACTGTCATCAGTGTACTGAGCATGTGCAGGAATGCAGGAACTGAAATTGCACTTATTTCCTTTGTCTTGGATGGGCCATGTGGTTTGACTAGATGTACAAGTCTATATTCTGCTCACTGATTGGTCTGAGGAATATAGGAGGGTTTATACTGTATGGGAGGAGATATGCAGTTAACAAAAGTCCCAAGCCCCAGGTATTTGGCCCTCAGAATTTTGGAACAGGAGTTCATCTGAGACCCGATCGGTAATGTGAATAAAGGCCTCTTACTTCCTGAAGACTTGTGTCCATATCTCTGTGTTTGACTTCTGCATGCATTACACTGCAACAATTTCCTCTTTCTTTGGTCAGAGTAGCACTGTCTCCTACTCTCTGTGGGTTACTGTGGTTTAATCGTTTATCACTTTAATTATTTATTTATCATTATTTATTATTTTATTTTATTGTTGTTTTACTTAATGTGGGATTTTTAATGGGTTACAGGTATTGATTTATATTTTCCTGTCAGCTTCCCTTTTTTTCTACTATTTCCTATTTCATTTATATATATTATTCTTAGGAGTTTAAGCATGCATGGGATAGGCATAAGGCTGTCCTAACTATAAGATAAGGCCAGGGGCTAATGAAAGTATTTAGAAAATTGGGCAGACTAGATGGGCCGAATGGTTCTTATCTGCCGTCACATTCTATGTTTCTATGTTTCTATTCTTCATTCTATATTTTTCTTCATAACTGTCCAGATGTTACATATTGATCTGATTATTGTGTTTCCTTTAATTGGGGTTTAGCTGTATTCATATATTTTTAATTGTATTTCTCTCCAGCTTCCATTTATTTCCTAATTTTCTATACCCTAGATATCTTTTTTACTCTCTTTTCTCCTTTCTTCTTACTTATATTGTTTTTTCTATTTCCATACATATATTACTGTGTTTTACTTTTGTTTTATTTTCTTAATTTTACCCAGGTTGCGGCTGGCACTCTCTGCCCAGTTTTTCCCGGGCTTTCTTGGGCCTCGGGGAATGCCTCCGACGGCCCCTTAGTGCGCACGGCGGCCATCTTGGACCTCGCGCATTACCGCGAGATCCGGACAGCCATTTCCTCTCTCGTGCGCATGCGTAAGATCGAGGTGGCCTTTTTCTACTAATTTTGAGTGGTGGGCAATAGACAGAATAGACAGGTTTTTTATTAAGGGGTGCCCTCGAAGGCACATGAGATAAGAATCTTTTCCCTAAGAACTACAGACCAGCTAAAAGATAAGCATTAGCTTACTGATCTAAGTACCTTGTGTTGCTTATTTCAATGTGAACTATACAATAGAAGCTCAGAAATACAGCAGGTCTGTTCTATAGAATAAAACACGTTTTTTCTTTCACTGATACATTTTTTCTGATCTGTCTGCACTATTCTATGCAAGAGATTCAGGTCTATTTAGAACCAACCTGACAGATACTTTATAAATCAAAGACTGCTACTTTGTAACTATTTAATACACAGCAGAGAAATGTATCCATATTAACAGCACCAAGATAAGTCTATCTGCCTTTTGTAACTGCTAAACAAAACAGTATAAGGATCGCATCCTTAGTTAAACTCAGTATTAATTGGAACTGCTTTATATAACTAAGGGTGACACCTCAGGACTGATTATCTTGTGCAGTAATTTTGATTGATATTGGTTAAATATACTCTACTTTGTAAATAGGATCTGTACTGGTATCTTACAGACAGCTTTGTGACTACTGATCCTATTTTAACATTGCTTGTCACACTTGTTTTATTTTATGTATTAACATATTAAAAGTTAAGTTTTATCAATAGACATCATAGAGACTTCATTTCGATAAATTTTTTTACTAACCTATGGTGACACCTACTGGTAGTTTTTTGTTACTACATATTTTTTATTTTTATTTTATTTCCAATTCTTTTGCTGTTTCAGACCTTTTCCTCGAGAAACTACAATGGACCCCACACTAGAAGATACGATCTACGGACCATGACCTGTAGGAGAGGCAGAAACCTTCCTGGACACACTAGGTCAACCACTATTTGACCTGCGTCACATCAGATACACCCAATCATCAGTGGTCTCTTCCAGACCATCTCACCCAGTACATCCACTTCTGGATTAGAAGGCCCCGGGGTGGATCAGGGTGTCTGCAAGTGTTTGAAAGCAGAATGTCCCAGGCCTACCCTGCCGGACAAGGTTCTAGATGACCCCGGAATTTGATATGCTGCTTTACACATATTTGGCCAGGACTGGCCGTGACCCTAGAAAGGTCATTGAGCACAGCTTATGTCTCACCCAAGACAAGCTGCTTGACATTTTTGGACCCCTAGCAAAGATAAAATTGTTGGCTGACGAGGCTCTCTCAGGAGGGACCACTGGACCCATCTGTAATCAGAGAATGGGTGCTACGCTCCATATGCCTGCTGGGCAGTGCAAACACATCCCTCTGTACGAAGGAAAGCAGTGCTGCTGCACATGGATGCCAAACTCTCTGATTTGGGGTCCAAGGAAATAGGCCCCGAGGCCAAGGGTCGTCTGTTCGGAGAACCCTATATCAAGGAACTACACAAACAAGTAAATTTGTACGCCACACTGAACAAGGTGCAGACATCTATGAGAGGAGTGTTCCATTAACAACCCACTTGGGTTTTTGGCAGGGCTGGCCGTACAAGGGGTCGTATAGCCAGCCGTTTCTGGTCAACAGGTCAACGCCAACTATCCCACACATCATTCTTCCCGAATTATCAAACAAGGGGCTCCTACAACCAAAGGTCTGATAGAGGAAAAGGAAGCAGAGCTCGAGGACACAACAGATATCCAACAGGGGAGATTTACCCCCTTTTACCTTTCTACCCTATGTCATGCGGGCAGGTTGTTGCAAGTGGAAGACTCTGTCTTCAGATACCTGGATTCTGGACAAGGTTCAGGGTTACTCCATAGAGTTCTATTACCCTATCATTCAGACAAGTCACCCCTATTGCCTGGTCATGTCAAAATCACAAAAGACTCTACTCGACAGCAGGGGCGGACTGAGAACCCTCAGGGCCCCCGGGCAAAATAAATCAAGGGCCCCCTTACAGGCCCCACCCATACTCTGCAGCAAGCGCCACCCTTGTCCCGCCTCCAGCCACACCCTACACAATCTTTAGACACAAGGAACAAAAGGGCAATAAGCCCTTCGAGGCCCCAGTAGAGACTACAATTGAGGGCTAATGGGCCATGGAGGGGGGTCTTTCTAGCGGAGGCTATCTCAGTGTCCTTTAGAGAGTGTGTTAGATAGAATCCCCTCCAAGCCCCATTAGAGACTACAATGGAGTCTAAAAGGCTTGGAAGGGGGTCTTTCTAACAGAGGCCATCTCAGCGTCCATTAGATATCCCCTGCTGGAAACAGTCGCCTCCAGGCCCCAGTAGAAACTACAATTGAGGGCTAATGGGCCATGGAGGGGATTTCTAGCAGAGGCTAGAGTCTAATGGGGCCTGGAGGGTGGTCTCTCCAACACTCTGGTTCCTATTCACAATATAGCAACACAACATAGCTCGCTGATACCTAAGCCAAGTTGGCTCCTCTTACCTTAATTACTGTTGCTGGCTGGCAGTCTGTGGGCTTGCTGGCTGCGGCTGGCAGGCTGTGGGCTTGCTGGCTACTGCCGGCAGGCTGTGGGCTTGCTGACTGCGGCTGGCAGGCTGCGGCTGGCTTGCTGGCTGTAAGCCTGTGGCTTGCTGTAGGCCTGTGGGCTGGCTACTGGCCTGTGGGCTGGCTAACTGGCTGGCTACTGGCCAGCCTGTGGGTTGGCTGGCTGGCTACTGGGGCACTTGTAGATTATTTAAAGAAATAATCCATGCACAATAACCACTACTGCTCCAGAGTAAGTAGTCAAACCGTTTAAGAACAGTTTGACAACTTACCTGGGGTCTGCTGGGATATGAGGCTGTAGTAGGGAATAGGAGCAGTGGTGCAATGTGTGTGAAAGGTTCAGTGTGTGTGTGGGGGTGTAGTGTGTGAATGTGTAGGGTGTGTGGGCAGTGTATGTGTGTGGCAATGTTAGTATGGGGGGCTGTGTATGGGGGTCTGTGTGTATATGGGTGGGCAGTGTATGTGTGTGTGTGAGGCAATGTGTGTAAATGTGTATGGTGTGTATGGGGGCAGTGTGTGAATGTGTATGGTGTGTGTGTGTGGGGGCAGTGTGTTTATGGGGCTAGAGTTCACTCTCACCACTGCGACCACCAGGAATCCATGGGGGTTACAGTGTTGAGAGTGAACTCTAGCCCGTAGCTCCAGGGCTAGAGTTGACTCTCGCAAGAGCAGTAACGTTGCCATGGTAACCGCGGCAACGCTCTGTGCTCGCGCAAGAAGGACCCAGAGGAGCTGCAGGGTGAGCTCCCAGGTCCTCTCTTCCTCCCCTGCCTGCACGGTGCCTGCGGACAGGGGAGGGGGGGCATTCTTCCCTCTCTTTCTCCCCCCTCCCCAACTCTCTATTCCCCCTCTTTCTCCCCGTGTCTCATTCTTCCCTCTCTGTCTCCCCCCTCCCCATCTCTCTATTCCCCCTGTGTCTCATTCTTCCCTATCTGTCTCTTTCTCCCCCTCCCCATCTCTCTATTCCCCCTCTTTCTCCCCATCTCTCTGTCCCCCCTTTCTGCCCCCCTCCCATCTCTCTGTCTTTCCCCCCTCTCTCTCTCCCCCTTTCCCATCTCTGTTCCCCCCTCTTTCTCCCCCCTCCCCCATCTCTGTTCCCCATCTCTCCCCCTCCCCATCTCTCTGTTCCCCCTCTTTCTCCCCCCTCTTTCTCCCCTCCCATCTCTCTGTTCCCCCCTCTTTCTCCCCCTCCCCATCTCCCCCCATCTCCCCCCTCCCATCTCTCTGTTCCCCTCTTTGTCCCCACCCCTCCCCCATCTCTGCTGTTCCCCCTCTTTCCCCCACTCCCATCTCTGTTCCCCTCTCTCCCCCCTCCCCATCTCTGTTCCCCCCTCTTTCTCCCCTCTCCCATCTCCCCCTCTTTCTCCCCCTCCCCATCTCTCCCCTCTTTCTCCCCTCCCATTCTTCCCTCTTTCTCCCCCTCCCATCTCTCCCCCTCCTTTCCCCTCCCTCTCCCCCTGCTTTCTCCCCCCTCCCCCTCTTTTCTCCCCCCTCCCATCTCTCCCTCTTTCTCCCCCACCCCCCTCTTTCTCCCCTCCTTTCCCCTCTTTCTCCCCTCTCCCCCCTCTTTACTAAAGGTCGGAGGCCGACGTTGATGCTGGGCCGGCGGGACCCGGGTGGCGGCCTGCGCCCGGTCGGCATTCTAGCGGCTGAAGGGAGGGAGGGCATGTGTTTATGTAACAACTGCGGTTCCCATCCTGTAGCGATTTGGGGAACCGCGGGAGACGCCCGGGCGCATGCTCCTCCTCCCTCCTCCTCCCTCCTCCTTCGGTGTTGGTGAGGTGGGTGCGGACGTGAACCTGATCTAACTGTGCCACCGGACCGGCCACCCGGTGGCACCTGCAGTCCCCAAATGCCGCCCCCAATCCAGCCCTGCCGCCGGGTCCCCTGAAGGCGGCCCTGGCGGTGGGCCCCCCTCCCGGCCGGGCCCTCGGACAGTGTCCGAAGTGCCCGACCGGTGAGTCCGCCCCTGCTCGACAGGGAACTGTGATTCCTCCTCACAAAGGAGCAATCCAACTAGCCCAAGGCAACAAGGCATTTTTCAGTTCTATCTTCCTGGTTCGGAAGAAATCAGGGGAACTCCACCTGGTCATCAATCTGCTCTTACTGTTTTGCGAGGACGCCTCCAGCCTGCAATTTCAGATGAGCTACATATCCTCATTGGTCCAATCCTTAGGTTTCGTTATCAACCAGGAAAAGTCAGCACTGTCGCCATCCCAGGTGATTCAGTTCCTCGGCTGGACAGACATTATGAGTCATTTCATATCACAGAGCAATGTTTCCAATTTAACTACTTTCTAATAATTAATATATTTGTTAATCAAATATTCTTTTGAAAAATGTTATGCTGTTGTTTTTATCCATGCAATTGATTTATAGCTTCCAAGACAATCCCCATTTTATATTGTATACACAATGATTTATATGTTTTATATAGAGGAACTCTTACTAAATATATAATATTATGGATCAAATATCTGCATGGTAAGCACTGCTAAATTCTATGCTTTAAGACAGGGGTTGGCAACCTTTTAGCAGCAATGTGCCGATATAGGATTGTAATGTCCTGTAGCGTGCCGGTCCTATTTTTTTTTTAAATTGAGGTGTGTATGCTGCAGTATTCTGCTTGTGTTATTTTTACTGTAATTGCTTTGTATCGTTGTATTTGTGCGTCTATGAGCTATTATATTGTATATGTTCATGAGTAGTTTATGGTATTGTGTAGGATACATATGAATGTGGGCTGTGTATGAGGGCTGCTTGTGGAATTGTGTGTGTGGATGGATATGTCACATTGTGTGTTTGGTAGTGTGTGGGGGCTGTTTGGGGTATTGCATGTGAGAGGCTGCATGTGCGTGTATGTGGATTGTCCGTGGTGTTCAGTTTGTGCGGATTGTGTATGTTTGTGTGTGGGCTGTCCGTATTATTTGTATGAGGAGAGGGTTATTCTGCATTTCTGTGTATATCAAGCATTGTGGATGGCTTCCCTTGGGGACCAGGCCAGCCAGGTTACAGGTCAAGGACATGAGCTGCAACAACAACTGCGAGCTGCTCTAATACTGTGTGGATTCTTATTCACAAGTGCTGGAATGAAGTGCTCTGAGATCACTTTCTCTACATGCTGCAATGCATAAATTGAGGATTGTCCTTCACCACCTCTTCGTATTAGCAGATATCTGAAGTTTTACTGGGACTCCTGATAGGCCAGAGCCTGTTTGGCTCTAGCAGCCTTGAGTGCCGTGCAAAGGCACCTCAAGTGCCGTGCATGGCACTAGTGCCGTAGGTTGCCTACCCCTGCTTTAAGATGTTATAATGGTAAATAGGGGAATCAACTGCGGTTAGGTTGTCATTAGAGATATGACAAAATTAAAGATTAGGCTTTTTCAGCTAAGTAGAAACCTGCAGTTCAACTTAAAGGGAAGGTCTATTAATCAGAAACCTTATTTTAAGTCCAGATCAAATCCAAGAAGTGATGTAGTGTAAAGGGGAAGTAATCAAGAGTAATCCTAGCTAATCTAGGTCATATTTGAGAAGGCAAATGTTTGTTAAAGGAAACCAAAAGTGCAGTCATTTAGATGAACCTGGGTCGTAAGCCATGTGTTTGATGAAGAGAGGCATACCTCACTTGGATGGAGGAGGAAAGCTCTTGAATTGGGCATTGGGGCAAATACCTGCAAATCGAATGGAAAAGTTTGCAACAATGGGCATGAAGTCTACAGCACACAGAGGCGCTGACAACGCACGCATTTAGTGATTTGTTTATACCCCACCTCCTAGAGGAGGTAAGCTTGTTTGAGCAGGGTCCTCTTCAACCAAATGTTCCTGTAAGGTTTCTTGCAATTGTCCTATTTATAGTTGAATCTCCCCTCTCATAATATTGTAAAGCGCTATGAAATCTTTTGGTGCTATATAAATGGTGATGATAATAATAATATGAACATTGGAAATAATGGGGGGTTAAACATAATTTTCACAGGTCTTTTCCCTTGGCTACTTTTTCTTCAAGGATTAACAGAAAACAGACGTGTCTATGAAGCCTCTCAATAACCATACGTGCAGAAATCGTAACACTTTTTCTTTTACTATTAGCAGTGAGATTTTCAGTTAATTTAGTGTTCTGATTTCATATCTATGTCCAAATCATGTTGTTGTAGCAAAGCAGGTAACTGTAGTTTGTTTGTGACAAACAGAATTCAAAAACAAAAAAGGACAGGGGTGTTAGAAACCGGGCTGCCAAATAGCCAATTACTTAGGGTTAAGAGGATTGTATAAAAAAGGATGATTAAATGAAGACTGATACACAAATATAAATGGTTATAAAATATAGGGAAATAAAACTAATATGTAAAAAAGGTTCACTTTGCTTCAACTTTTTTTCCCACTCAGGTGTGTAAAGTTTTAAAAATCAGACATGCAATACCATACTGGAATGTGGTCTGAAATCTATTAAATACTGATGGAATATGTTACGAAGTGTCAAGAATCTGCACCCGTAGCATAAAATACATAGAAAACAATTCAATAGGTTGGCGTTCTAAACCCTGTTATGTGATACAATGAATAAAGCATAGATCTGGGACACTATTTAGTCAGTGATGGGATACAATACAAATGGGGTCTTTATCCTGTGAAATCAGGGATGGAAAGTAATACAACAGGGTGGGGGGGTCCCATTCCTATTATTCAGGAATATGATACAATAGAATGGGCTAAAGGTTGAAAATTATTTTTGCTTATTATAACAAATGCCTTTTTCCTGATATGGTCAAGTCTGCTTTTTTTTTATTACCAGGATTACATAGATTAGAGTTGCAATCATTTTTGCTTCTAAACAAAGCTCACAAAAATAATGTAAACCTTTTGTAATCTTTTCTTTATTTCAAGAAAATATGCAATAATGAGAATACATTTTTTCAATTAGCGATAAAAGAGTAGGACAGCTGCCTCCGTTATCTCCTTGCTGGCACTCGATCCTATGTGTGTCCCATACCCGTTCCAGTCATAGGAAGCAAAATCTCCACATTGGACGGGGTTCCCCTCTGGGAAGAAGCCACCTCCTCCAATACAGTGCTACAAGAAATAAGATTGCAGACTGAGAACATGCTTATTAGGTGGTATGGCAGGGAAAATGGCATATTTTGCAATCAACTGACATTACGAGTTATGTCATATCCCAGAGCAGTGTTTCCAACTCAATTGCTTTCTAATGAACTTGACAGGGAACATAAATGTAATAATGGGTCAGCTCTGTGGGGACTCTGGTAATGTGGTCAAGGTGAGAAAATAGAAATATCTCTTCAATTGCCCACATAGCATGAAAGTGCTCTAGCTGGATTTCTGCCTTAAGCTGGCCCCTCACTGGAGTAGTGACTCACCTTCCTGATGGCAGCCCCGCTTACATAACTACTTACAAACACAAAGAAGCATTCACACATTTTATTTAACTCACACATACAGAGTCCATGAATAGTTTGTCTCTCACATCTAACCTATTTAGCAACAAAAACACACATATGAACACAGACATAGACAGCCAAGCACACAAATGTACACGCACATAGGAGTCTAGCACACAGATGGACATGAGTGTTCATACACACACTACAGGGAGTGCAGAATTATTAGGCAAATTAGTATTTTGACCACATCATCCTCTTTATGCATGTTGTCTTACTCCAAGCTGTATAGGCTCGAAAGCCTACTACCAATTAAGCATATTAGGTGATGGGCATCTCTGTAATGAGAAGGGGTGTGGTCTAATGACATCAACACCCTATATCAGGTGTGCATAATTATTAGGCAACTTCCTTTCCTTTGGCAAAATGGGTCAAAAGAAGGACTTGACAGGCTCAGAAAAGTCAAAATAGTGAGATATCTTGCAGAGGGATGCAGCACTCTTAAAATTGCAAAACTTCTGAAGCGTGATCATCGAACAATCAAGCGTTTCATTCAAAATAGTCAACAGGGTCGCAAGAAGCGTGTGGAAAAACCAAGGCGCAAAATAACTGCCAATGAATTGAGAAAAGTCAAGCGTGCAGCTGCCACGATGCCACTTGCCACCAGTTTGGCCATATTTCAGAGCTGCAACATCACTGGAGTGCCCAAAAGCACAAGGTGTGCAACACTCAGAGACATGGCCAAGGTAAGAAAGGCTGAAAGACGACCACCACTGAACAAGACACACAAGCTGAAACGTCAAGACTAGGCCAAGAAATATCTCAAGACTGATTTTTCTAAGGTTTTATGGACTGATGAAATGAGAGTGAGTCTTGATGGGCCAGATGGATGGGCCAGTGGCTGGATTGGTAAAGGGCAGAGAGCTCCAGTCCGACTCAGACGCCAGCAAGGTGGAGGTGGAGTACTGGTTTGGGCTGGTATCATCAAAGATGAGCTTGTGGGGCCTTTCGGGTTGAGGATGGAGTCAAGCTCAACTCCCAGTCCTACTGCCAGTTCCTGGAAGACACCTTCTTCAAGCAGTGGTACAGGAAGAAGTCTGCATCCTTCAAGAAAAACATGATTTCATGCAGGACAATGCTCCATCACACGCGTCCAAGTACTCCACAGCGTGGCTGGCAAGAAAGGGTATAAAAGAAGAAAATCTAATGACATGGTCTCCTTGTTCACCTGATCTGAACCCCATTGAGAACCTGTGGTCCATCATCAAATGTGAGATTTACAAGGAGGGAAAACAGTACACCTCTCTGAACGGTGTCTGGGAGGCTGTGGTTGCTGCTGCACGCAATGTTGATGGTGAACAGATCAAAACACTGACAGAATCCATGGATGGCAGGCTTTTGAGTGTCCTTGCAAAGAAAGGTGGCTATATTGGTCACTGATTTGTTTTTGTTTTGTTTTTGAATGTCAGAAATGTATATTTTTGAATGTTGAGATGTTATATTGGTTTCACTGGTAATAATAAATAATTGAAATGGGTATATATTTGTTTTTGTTAAGTTGCCTAATAATTATGCACAGTAATAGTCACCTGCACACACAGATATCCCCCTAACATAGCTAAAACAAACTAAAAACTACTTCCAAAAATATTCAGCTTTGATATTAATGAGTTTTTTGGGTTCATTGAGAACATGGTTGTTGTTCAATAATAAAATTAATCCTCAAAAATACAACTTGCCTAATAATTCTGCACTCCCTGTATCACTCACACAGACATATACAGACACTAATACACATCACAGAAGCTTATCCACAATTCATAATTGTATTCTCCTTTCCTTTTCTTACTTTATACCATGAGAGACTGAGGGCGGTTCCATGATGTCCTTGATGTAACGTTTTGTGAAGCCTCTTGACGTTCTGCACCCATAGACAGGCAGCAGGTGGCAGAATATAACTATCAGTAATTCTGCCTGCTGCACAGAGCGCACTTCTGTCTTTGGTTGCTCGGCAGCAATAATACTATTATACAAAATTAAGGCCTTCACTCCTGGGCGGCAGTATTGACTATAGTACACATCAGCTCCAATACATACAATAAGAACCAAATAAAAGTTACTTGTGTTTACTATCCCAAATCCCTATGCACATTTAAATAACTGGAGGTTTTTTAGGGTCAATCCAATGTCCATTATTCTGTAAGCTCACCTGTCACGTCAAGGCAAAACCTCTTAGGTGATTCCCACACTATCAATTCCCCTTGCTGTTTTCAGCTAATTGGCAAAATCTCTAATGAGACATCGAGGGGTATTTTTCTAAACACCTACCCACTTATTAACCCTTACTAATAGCAGTAATACTATTCCTGGCTCACAGAGAATGTAATGGGAGAGCCTCTTAATTGTGGTTTTCAAATCCTGATAGGTTGTGACAGCTTGGGATATGTCCTACCCAAGTTCTGACCTGTACTATTTGTGCCTGTGACAGCTTCAGAAATACATTACTGGTGTAAATACTTTACAAGAGACAGAGACTGGCCATACGTACATGTTCCGTGTTGCATCCCATCACCTTCATTCCTGGGCACAGAGCCTGTGATGCTCTTTCATTGTTAAAAACTCGAAACTGGACAAAGCCGGCAGTAAACTCGCCTGCAGAATGAGACAGAGTGAGGACATTGTGTAAGCAGACCTGGTAATTTTCATTTACTGTCTCTCTCTCTATATATATATATATATGTATACTTACCTCTCCCATTTGGAGAGTAGTAATTGGCTGTCTTTTCAGCATTTCCGTAATCATACACAATTGGCACAGCAGGTCCATTGTTGATCAAGCATGCCCCAGCATTATACCTCACTGGATATTTCTAAGGACAAAGAGATAAAAAGGCAGGTAAACAGAATAGAACATAAATCTACATAAGTGTTAACTTTCTTATCTCTAGATGAGAAATAAAGCAACATTTACATATAGGTTGAAGAACAACCACTGGGTTTCATCCAATCACAATTTTCAATTGTGCACCAGAAATGAAAAAAAGAATAGATATTTTTGAGTCTGTAAATGCTATCAGAGCTCTCCTTCAGGATCAACAAACTGCTAAATCCTAGAAACCTTATAAACCTTCCTGATTCAGTAGGTGAAATATCCTTTCCTGAAGTCTCACAATTCTCAATTTTTAGGCCAAAACAGTCACAATAGAAAAGTTTCTCCTAAACATTTACATTCACTTTGAATTTCTGTCAATTTACACTTTGGTGAACAACCTTGTCATTAAATGATCAACTCATTGCACATTTATCTGTTAAGTCCTGTCATATCATGATTGACTTGAGCACTTGTTAGAAATTGCATGATATGCCTTGAATGATATTTAAGGTGATAAGGCTGGCATTAACATCAGCTACCTCAGCAAAAACAGGGTTATTTACTAATGTTGGAATTGTCAGGAATTCAAAGTGAATTTTCAAATTTTAGACCAAAATAGCTGAGGTAGAAGCATAGCTTACTTGGATACTTGGAGAGTTTTTTTTCCAATCCACTTTAAATTTAGTTTACATTTCTGGCAATTCTTATATTAGTAAATAGCCCTAAAAGTCTGTGCCTTTTGTGAAATGGTATATCTTATTTGCTCAAGCAGATGATCTCTTAACCTGATATACAGTACTTTTTTTTTTTTTTTACAAATTTAATATAACATGTTGATCTTTTCATACATGTTAAACATGTAACTGAATGTAAACATGGTTCATATCCCTACTGGATTTTCGAGAAATACTGTACCGTGTACAAACTGAAAAGATTTCCTCCTTCTGAGGTGAAGAAACCAGTTTCTGTGCGATATCTCAGCAGAGCAGCATCCCTCCATTGAAAAAGTGGTGTAAGATTAGGCACATGCCACAAACCCAAATCCTTGGCGGAAATGTCATAATATCCCTGATTCTGAAAATAGGAGTTGTTAATTTAAATCAGTGTACCTTTATTCTGCAACTAACTCGCAGTATGACAGATACAGGATAAAAAGTTACAGAGTAATCTATCACATCTAAATATGTAAAAATGGCAAGCCCTGGAGACCCTTGGATAGGAAAATACCCATATAATACTGTATCTAAATCACCAGTTACTGCAACTAAAAAATATCAGTAGAATTAAACCACGATTAGATTAAGAAACTCTATATGGTAATGTATATAAAGTGTACATAAATCTTATAACAATATGCTATACATGGAATCATGTATCAGTATGCACACTAAATTAAAACAAAAAAACTAATAGGGACTCCTGCTTTTCCTCCTTCCTCTCATTGTGGTTCGCCAGCTAATAGCTTTTGCTATGCATTTATTTATTACTTTTCCAATGTCAGAATTATTTTGTCTTACAGTGATTCTCAACCTATGGTGTGCATACCTCTGGGGTTACGAACCAGTTCTCACAGGGTATATACACAAAAAAAAATCTTTAATGGCGCGCCACAGTTTAGGGCCACCTGATGGACATGTGCCACGAGGGTCCCAGTCGTGCGCTGCAGTGCTTTGATAGCTTAACTGGGTCTCCGCTGGGAGGAAGTGAGAGCTGGTCACCTGCTCTGGGCTAGCACAGAGCACCGTGTGGGAGACATGGAGAGGAGAAGGCAGAGGGTAGCACAGAGCACCGTGTGGGAGACATGGAGAGGAGAAGGCAGAGGGGAAGGGGCAAATTGGCTGTGCAAGCCCCTAACTCCCAACATCCCAAGCCAACAGAAGCCACCCTTCAATATCCTAAAAGTAGGAAACATAAGCACGTCTAAAGTTTTGACCGGTATGTGTGTTTTGTGTGTGCATCTCGTTACCTGTGAATTTGTATGTGTTTCAATGTGTGTCTCCATGTCAGTGTATCTGTATGTGTGTATCTGTTTATCTGCATTTGTATTAGTGCGTCTTAATACGTGTATGTGTGTCATTGTTTGTATCTGTGTGTCTGTGCATCTGCATGTGTGTCAGTGTGTGTATCTGTATGTGATAGTGTGTGTATGTGTAGAAATATAACTGGGGCAGAGGAGAAACAGGGGGAACCTGGAGAAGCTAGGGGAACCCTGGGGAAAGGGAGAAGCAGGGTGAGCATGGGTAAGCACCAAAGACATACGAGGAGCTTGGGGCAAAGGAGAAGCAAGGAGAATCTGGGACAGAGGAGAAACAGGGAGAGCCTGTGGCAGAGGGGAATCATAGTGTCTGAGGAAGAGGAGAAGCAGGGAGGGCTTGGGGTTGTGGAGAAGCTGGGGAGCCTAAGCCAGAGAAAAGGGGGAGATGGAGCAGAGATAAAATGTATAAATTTGAAATAAGAGCAACTATATTAATTACAAATATTTTGCTAATATGAAGTGTACAATTTATGGAAATGCTCTACAATGGGTACACAATTGAAAAAAGGTTGGGAACTACAGCATTACTACAAACTATTTCACACTAATTATATAATGGTAATAGAATGTCCTCTTTTTTGTATCCATTAGGATTTCCCAGGATGCTACAATTTGTAAGAATATTTATGAATAAAAGTAAAGTTTTAACTAGTGATTTCTTAGCATATTTTATGAGACTTGTCTAATTAGGACTGAAACACCCTTTTCACGTATTAGCATTCATTACTTTTCTCAAATTCAAATTAAGTTTTTTTGTTTTGTTTTTTAGAATAATCTTATATAGATATGCATTTTAAGGTTAGATTAACCCCTTAAGGACACATGACATGTGTGACATGTCATGATTCCCTTTTATTCCAGAAGTTTGGTCCTTAATGGGTTAAAAACATATTTGTGGACAAGTGTCTCAAGAGTAAAATGACTCTCCAAGCACCAAAACATGTTAAATCACTGTACGTGAGCAGACATAGCCACGTCTTCCGTGGCTGTGATCAACACAACACCCCTACACATTTTCTAAAAAAAAAAGGTCTAATTTGTAAATGCCCCTTATTGTTCATAGAGCCATGTGTTCTTCCTGAACTGTTAATTTCCAGATTGAGCTTGTAGCAGCAAGCTGTATGTAATTAAAATTAAATTTACATAACAGGAGATTTAAACTGATATAGCGAACACACTGTGCTGTAAAAATTAAACCATTTTCATGGAGGCTGTGTGAGTCACAGCCAAGGGAGTTGACCAGAGCTATGTAAACAAAGTGCTTTAAGTACTAAACAGCAGAATTGAGTAATGACACTGCAGCGGTGATCTATATATCAAATCTGTGATCAGATAATGTGCCCAAAGACCAAAGCTTTACATTCTAAATTCAAACCTTAAAGGACCACTATAGGCACCCACACCACTTTAGCTCAATGAAGTGGTCTGGGTGCCAGGTCCCTCTAGTTTTAACCCTGCAGCTGAAAACATAGCAGTTTCAGAGAAACTGCTATGTTTCACTGAGGGTTAATCCAGCCTCTAGTGGCTGTCTCACTGACAGCTGCAAGAGGTACTTCCGCGCTTCTCACTGTAAAAATCACAGTGAGAAGATGCTGGACGTCCATAGCAAAGCAAATACTTTCCTATGGGCGGTTTGAATGCGCACGCATTCGGCACTGACGTTGGCAGGAGGAGGAGAGTTCTCGGCAGGAGGAGGAGAGTTCCCCAGTGCAGAGCCCAGCTCTAGCCCCTTCAGCCAAGCGGGAGGGGCCATGAGGGTGGGGGGGCCTAAAGACACTATAGTGCCAGGAAAACGAGTTTGTTTTCCTGGCACTATAGTGGTCCTTTAAGATAACAATACCATAATTAAAACCCTATTAGATGTGACTATTCACTTTCATTATTGCTAAACTCATATAACATTTATCACAAAACCACTCATTTAGTGTTTAGTACCTTGTAGTCATCACTGGTTGCTCCAAAAGCATCCCCGAACACGGCATAATTTGCCCAGTTGGCATCTCCCTCAGGGTAGTTAATGGAATTTCCCTGCTGACTGGACCAGCGATCTCCTGCTGTGCACTTCCCATACATATTGTTTTCATGGATACTGGCCACCAATGTCCACCCTCCTCCATTGGTGGTCATGTCACAGAAGGTCTGGTACTGCATTCCATATTTGGTTGTCAGAGTATAAATTCCATCTGTGATAATGCCAAGATAACAATCTATTTAATCTAGTAAACAGAGGGCGCTATAATGACCATGAACATAACTTAATAGGGCATCATATAAGATGAAGGAAAACAGAAGATATAAACATGACTGTTCTATTCAAACCATGGTAGCATTTTCCGCATTTTGCCACCTTCATCTCAACTCATGTCAACCTATCACACAACACTATCAAACTCTATTTAACAGGTGTACAACATCATATCTTGACCACCATGCCAAACGTAAACCCTTTTATCATCTTACCCAATCAGAAACATACTAAAAGGCATCAACAAACTAGATCACCACACTAACCAGAAAAGACTTCCAATAGACAGAGCAAAGTTCCGGGTTTTATCTGATATGATAGATACACAACCATTCTAACCACATACCAACATGGTCTTAAAGACCGCCATGTACATAGCGTTCTACGTTTTTTTGAGACCCAGGGAATTCACAATTAGTTCACAATCAGACAGTCATTTGTGTCTCACGATAAAAGATTTAAAAAAGGTGAATGACCATTATATTCTATCGTTAAAACATTCTAAAACCAAACAGTCTGGCCACCTACTGGAAGTCCCCTTCTACCCTACTGAGAATCACTGGTGCCCCGTCAAAGTTTTGGACACTGATCTACACCAATTCAGAGACACCGCCATAAATTCACCACTGTTCACAATACTAGGTGGTCCCCTCACCACTTCCAAATTCATGCTCCACATCAGAACTCTATGCATTTGATTAGGTTGGGACCCAACCGCTTATTCAGGTCACTCATTTAGAATCAGAGCAGCTTTAGCTGCATCCAGTACCAATACACACGTCCACATCATTAAAAAAAATTAGGATGTATCCACAGTATACAAAAGGTACATGCCACATCCAGAGAAAGAAATTAGGAAAGCATTCAAGAATCTTGTATTACAGCAATAAAGTGTGTTTTTTCTGCATTCCTTTTTGCCCTCTTTATTACAGGCCTACTCTTACGTCAGTTTCGGCACACCCTCACCTACTTGCTTCAATCTTAAGGTATTTCACGGCTTGGATGTTACCGACCACATATATATATATATATATGTATATATATCAATTCAAGTCAGTCTCATAGATGTACTATTTCAGTCACACCTATTTCTTAAGCAAAATCAATTTTATCGTAATCGCAATCACCAACAGAGGTCTTACCAATGCTTGTCGGGTGCTTCATCTTACTACTTGTGTCCTGCCTGTGCCTTTACTTTTTCTCCTGGAGAAAACATGTTGGACATTTTTGCTTTCAACTGCATGTCTGTCCAGGACTGTCACTAGCTCTCTCTATTTTTGATGCCAGTCCTAACATCAAAAATGGAACTGTTAACTAGTTAGAAAAAATATGTGATATTTAGCACAAATACATTCTGAGAGCAATGAGACCTCTGCTGGTGTCTTTAATTATTGCAAACTGCAGGATGGAGAATTGTACTTAATGGAATAAGTATGACTGAAACAGCACATCTATGATTGAATATATCTATATTATTACAGCATAATATATATTTGTTTCCAATAATACATTTTTCTAAGTGCTATTAATTCCTGATTTTATATGTGTCTCAAGACAACTAGGTGCTAATCTCCACCACCATTTCCACTAGCCCTATAGCCCAACTGGAAAAACGCCAACTTGGCCATTGGAATCTCGGACTCACCTGTTGCAGACCTATCCATCCTCTTGATGTCCTTGCAACTTCTGTACTCCATCTCAGAGCTTCCAGTGTGGAAGTCACGGCCAGCATGACCACTGGTAAATACAAGGGCCAGCACTAACAGACTGTACTGCAACATCTTTGGCTAGAGTGAAACAAATAACAGATCAAATAATTCCATATTACTAATTACAATATTTTGTATTCATACTAAATACTATACACATAATGCAAATACCATGCATGCATTTAAAATGATAATTGTACTAAACATTTCATCATAGGAATGGCTGCAAATAGAATTCTACCCAAAGTATGAGCCCAATGCCACAGAGTCTGGTCTTAAAGCAGAGTGTAATATCAATGCCACCCAAATCTTATACAGAGTATAATGTTAAAGCAGAGTGCGAGCCCAATGCCACTCAATTCTTACACAGGGTCTGGTGTTAAAGTAAAGTGTGAGCCCCATACCACCCAATTCTTACACAGATTCTGGTCTTAAAGCAGAGTGTAATACCAATGCCACCCAATTCTTGTAAAGAGTCTAATGTTAAAGCAGAGTGCGAGCCCAATTCCACTCAATTCATACACAGAGTCTGGTTTTAAGGCAGAGTGTGAGCCCAATGCCACCCAATTCTTACACAGAGTCTGGTTTTAAGGCAGAGTGTGAGCCCAATGCCACCCAATTCATACACAGAGTCTGGTGTTAAAGAAGAGTGTGAGTCTAATGCCAACCAATACTTACACAGGATCTGGTGTTAAAGCAGAGTGTGAGCCAAAGGCCACCCAATTCTTATACAGATTCTGGTGTTAAAGCAGAGTGTGAGCCCAATGCCACCCAATTCTTTTACAGATTCTGGTGTTAAAGCAGTGTATGAGCCCAATGCCACCCAATTTGTACACAGAGTCTGACACAGTAAAGGAGTTTAAGCATGCGTGGGATAGGCATAAGACTATCCTAACTATAAGATAAGACTAGGGACTAATGAAAGTTTTTAGAAAATTGGGCAGACTAGATGGGCCGAATGGTTCTTATCTACCGTCACATTCTATGTTTCTATGAGTCTGGTATTAAAGCAGAGTGTAATACCAATGCCACCCAATTCTTACACAGGATCTGGTGTTAAAGCAGAGTGCGAGTCCAATGCCACCCAATACTTACACAGGATCTGGTGTTAAAGCAGAGTGTGAGTCCAATGCCACCCAATTCTTAAACAGACTCCGGTGTTAATGCAGGCTCTGGACTCCTCTTTATAGTGGGATAAACGTCCTAAACCAGTCAGTCAACATACCTTGGACATGTTTTTCTTTAATATCTTATATGGGAGTGGAACTCAATCGATCAACCGTGAATAAACATGTTTTTTTTTCTCCCTCTTTCTCCTCTTCCTTGTCTCATTCTTCTTCTTCTTCATCATCTTTCTCCTCTGTTAACTTCCCTCTCCCATACCCCTCCTCCAATCCCCAACTCTTCATTCAGGCTAGTACTCTGACATGGAAACACAGCAACTCTTACGATAGCCACAAATGGTCTCAAGCTTGATGATGAGTAAGAGAGGCATAACTGGTCTGGGCGACGTATATAAAAAAAAAGTAGAAACACCGGACCTGTTTTCCCCGACATCAACGGTACTTGCTGTAACTTTATACAGCTGCCTGATATCTCCTAATATGTTGAGGATAAAGACCTAGTTGCCTAATGTTGATTGTTTGTCTATGATAACAAAAACCCATGTATCTTGAACTCATTTACTCTTGCAATACTGCATTATACTGTATATCTATTTTCTCTGTGTAAAATATAAAATCATAAATAAAGATTGTCAAAATAATAAACATGTTTATAACTGAGTGTAATTTCTTTAGAGAATCTTTTTGAATAAAACAAAAAATAACTGTTAGATATTCATGTCTGTGTCTCAATGTTTCTATGTTCTCTAATTTTTAAAGAAAGGGGACAATAAAATCCTTTAAAAAGCTTTTGTGCAGTGCATGCCAATTGCTGTCCAATACTACAATGGTTTTAAAAATCAAGGGCAGCACTTTCATACCCTGCACAGCAGTATGAAGTGTTTTTAAATGAATGGGAGAATACAAACTTTTAGCAAACTGTTATGCAGCGTGAAATGTGCTGCCATGCCAAAACATTCAAAGTCATCAAGGGCAGCACTTTTCACGTCCTCCATAAGAGTATAAAAAAAAAGAGAGGACTTCTCATAGCGCTACATAATTGAGGTTATCTCTTTGTGTTACAACCTCCTCAGATACATTGTTGCTCTTTAGAGGTTAACAGTAGCAGTTTGTTGCGTCAGTGCTTTAGATACATTGCACTGTGTGACTCAGAGAGATAATCATAAGTAAAAATTAGCACCAGGGTGATTCAGAACCACAATTTCTTGAGGACACTAGACAAAGAATGATTTGTTTGTAAATTCGGGTTCTGTCTCAACCAATACTTTTGATCCATTATTAGAGTTGAGTGGACACCTGGATGTTTGGGTCCGACGGGTTCGGCCGAACTTTGAAAAAAAGTCTGGGTTCGTGATCTAACTTGACCCCAAAGCCGAACCCCATTGAAGTCAATGGGGACCTGAACTTTTGGCCACAAAAATGCCTCTAAAAAAGTCCTGGAAAGGGCTAGAGGGCTGCAAAAGGAAGTAAAGGGGTAAGAGTAGGACAAGTGCCCTGCAAACAAATGTGGATAGGAAAATCACGTAAAATAACATAAAAATTAAAAATACAGCTGAGCCATAAAATAGCACTAGATGGAATCTAAAGCATGGCTGTCAGGAGGATCGCCAGAATTATCCATTTGAGAGAGGGTTAGAGTGCAGGGTATTCTCTTTTATTGTTCAAACTGATGCATGGAGAAAAGGCCTTCACAAGCCTCTGCTACTGTGTACCTAGTTTATACTAAGTGACCCATAGGTTGAGGAGGGAGTGACCGTGGCGGTGTCGGTGGAAGCGGTGGTGGAGGAGGAGGAGGAGGTAGCCAACACTGTTTATATATATATATATATATATATTTTTTTTTTTTTATTTTAATTGGGGTAGCCCCCAAAATATTGGGACATGGAAAAAAAAGAAACATTTGCGGCCTGCAGTGCATTTCTTGCAGTCCTGATGCATGGAGAAATGCTCAACTCCTGATGCATGGAGAAAAGGCCTTCACAAGCCTATTGCTATTGTGTACATTGTTTATACTAAGTGACCCACAGGTTGAGGAGGCAGTGACCGTGGCAGTGTAGGTGGAAGTGGCGGTGGAGGAGGAGGAGGTAGCCAACACTGTTCATATGTATCTATTTTTTATTTTAATTGGTGTAGCCCCCCCAAATATTGGGACATATAAAAAAAAAAAAGAAAACTGTTCTGCAGAGCGACTGACCCATGCGTGCTGCATCTGAAACTCCACTATTGAGGCGAGCAGCAGCAGGGTGAGAACGCCAAAAGTGCACACAGATTGCCCGAATTTTCTGAAGCAGCTCTGATATATCTGGGTATACACCATGGCATCACAAGGGCCACCCAGGTCTGGCTCAACTCCCATCAAGCCAAGTTCCCAGAGGATATCACCCAGCTCGTCATGTTAGAGCACTTTTTCAATGTGCTCCCCAACGAGAAGGCGACAACGCATTCGTATGTCAATCCATATCAACTTTCGATGCCATTGACTGCGCCTACCATGGTGACCACGGGTAATGGGGAATCAGGGTTCGATTCCGTACAGGAACCCTGACAAACGGCTACCACATGCAAGGAAGGCAGCAGGCACGCAAATGACCCACTCCTGGCGAGGGAAGGTAGTGACGACAAATAACAATACAGGACTCTTTAGAGGCCCTGTAATTGAAATGAGTCCACTTGAAATCCTTTAACTCTGACCAATTGGAGGGAAGTCTGATGCAGAGCCAGTGACCCGTGCGTGCTGCAGCTGAAACTCCACTATCGCCTGCTGCTGCTCAAACAGTCTCTCCAGCATGTGCAAGGTGGAGTTCCACCTTGTGGTCACATTGTATATGAGGCAGTGAGCGGGAAGGCCAAAGTTACGCTGCAGCACAAACAGTCGATCAGCAGTAGGGTGAGAACGCCAAAAGCGTGCACAGCCACTACAGTGAATGTCACATCCTGTTCCACGTTGCGGATCAGTCTGGTGATGGCTTCTGGTATCCAGTACTCTTTTTACTGAAGCTGCATCAGGGTCCTGGTATGTGGCCGCACAAACGCTGGTGCTCAACACCAGGGGGCGTGCGGTCCTCCTGCACCAGACCCTGCTAATCCATTCCACACTGTGACTCCTAACTTCTACATCAGGCTTACTGGGTCCCGGTCCTGCTCATTGCAAGGTTTGCACTGTGCTGTGCTACTCTACAGCACACATCTTTTGGGGTGTTCCAAGGTTTTGCTATACCATGTCAAAGCGTTCCAAGGGAAAAATGAATTAACCCTGCCTTATACAAATCCTAGAGTTAACCCAATATTTATATATAATTTTTGATTTTGCACTTTTCCTTTTTGTTACATTGTATATATTATATAATATATAGATCACAAAGTATATTTTTCTCTGATCGCTCTATTTCCTAGTGTGGTTAAGATTTGTCTCCATCTAGTGGAAAAACAATATATTGTCTCTATAGACTCTCTCTGTCTTTGACATCACTAAAAGTTATGTTGTAAACATACTCCAGGGTTAAGAGCTTGTTCTCTTCTTTTTTTATTAAATACAAAAAATAACTCCCAATTACAATCGTGTTTATAGAGTTGAAAAAGTTTTAGGACAGAAGACAGACAAAGGGAAAATATTGTAGTAGGTAAAATGGTTAGGTTACCCAGCTGCATTCAATAGTTGGATTGACATAAAGCAGTTGGCCAACCTCTAAACAACAACACAGCTATGGAGGACACAGCATTTTAAGTAACGCTACCTAGTAACGCTTCGCATGGAATATATCCTCAAAACGAAATATCCAATTATACAACAAAACTATTCAAGCCGATTATCCTAAAAAAATCAATGGGAAGTTGGTTTATCGGAAATACAATATCGACATACATGAAATACTTTGAAGCCACTGAGGGTTTAATATATGTGGGGTTGCCAGGTGGACCTATGAACAGCTACCGGTAAGTGTAAAATCTGGATATTATAATGAGCTGGTGACAGTTATTAATGAACGGATATAAAGTTACACATTTTCGCCATTTGATGTAAAGCTAGAATATGATTCGCTAGAGAGAAAGGTATCTATCCACGGTACACATACGTTCTTTGCCAGCGATAAATTGATGCACATACTCGGTATTGATTATAATCATGAAACATAGAAACATAGAAACATAGAATGTGATGGCAGATAAGAACCATTCAGTAAAGAACAGTAAAGGAGGAGACTATCGCTCCATCTGTTACTTGGATAACTGTGGGAATTCTAAAGATAATATATGCCGATGAGTGCTAGGGGACAGCCGCTCCGCTTTTGCACCCTGCTCCCTCTTATGCTGTGCCGGTGCCTCTGTGCAACCATCGCCTCTTCCTCCAAACTGCACACGTCATTTGCATGACCTTGATTCCATGTGGGGTCTAGGACCTCATCATCCTCCACATCATCTTCCACCAACGCCTCAACCCTGCCCTCCTTGCCGGTATGCACACTGCAGAAAGCCATTGCAGTTGTCACCTGTGTTTTTCCAGCATGTAAAGTCTGCAAAGGACATATGGAAATTGTTTTAGAATTGTATCCAGGCAACAGTTTTCCCTATAAATTGACCTCTCAGTTTGACTTGTGAGGGTATTGCCTCAGAATTACAATATTGTTTAAGTACCTCTTTGCTATTGATAACTGGTTTAAATATATCAGCTTGTTATCTGGTAGTTTCTAGTGTAGAAAATATCAATGTTTTCTATCACTTAGATCTGTGTAACAAGTGTTGGAGGTGTGAAACAATATTACAAGTGACCGATGTAGTAAATTCCAATCAAAGTAACGCTTCGATTTGAGTCTCAGATATGAAGCGCAGGCCCCAAAATGTACTATTTAGCAGATTAGCAGCAAAACAATTTGAATGTTTACGATTGCGCTGTAAGCGCACTATTAGACGCTTCGATTTGACTCTCAGATACGAAGAGTAGGCCCTAAAATGTACTATTTAGCATATTAGCTGCCAGAAAATAAGAATGTTTACAATTGTGCTGTAACCACAGTATTTGACGCTTCTATTTAACTCTCAGAGATGAAGAGCCAAAAATGTACTATTTAGCAGATTAGCACTCAAAATTAGAATGTTTACAACCGGGCTGTAAGCGCACTATTAGATGCTTTGATTTGACTCTCAGATATGAAGTGCACGCCCCAATATGTACTATTTAGCAGATTAGCACCCAGAAAATAAGAATTTTTACAAGTGTGCTGTAAGCGCACTATTAGACACTTCTATTTGACTCTCAGATATGAAGAGCAGGCCCCAAAATGTACTATTTAGCAGATTAGCAGCAAAACAATTTGAATGTTTACAATTGCGCTGTAAGCGCACTATTTGACGCCTCTATTTGACTCTCAGATATGAAGTGCACGCCCCAAAATGTACTATTTAGCAGATTAGCACCAAGAAAATTAGAATTTTTAGAACTGCGCTATAAGCGCACTATTAGACGCTTCGATTTGACTCTCAGATATGAAGAGCAGGCCCCAAAATGCACTATTTAGAAGATTAGCAGCAAAACAATTAGGATGTTTACAACTGCACTGTAAGCACACTATTAGACGCTTCGATTTGACTGTAAACAAGTCACTCCGACTGATCCACCGACATGAAGCTGTTCTTATCCTTTACCATTTTATGGTGTGTTCGGATATGCTACTCTGACTTGAGACCAGAAAATAATAATGCATGGCAGGAAAATATATGGTTGCAGATAGCAAAGGCTTTTAATTTAACCTCCTTTTGCCTCAACCCTCTCCTCAGTACTGAAAACGCCATAGAATCTTGTCTTATAGCTGTCCCTACCTCCATCTCACTGTTGAGGAAGTACCTGCATACCCATAGACCCTATAAATCTCTACAACTATATTCTTATTCCTTCAACCCACTAGTAGGCAAGCCTCCCCTAGCCCCGAAGACAATTAATGTGACAGGCGCTGAACTATGGTCTATTTCATGTAATTGTTCAAGAGACCCTAATACTGAATCCCTGTTTTGCCCCACATGGTGAAAAAAAATATCATGAATTGTAGAGCCCTGAGCACCACTATGAATTGTACCAAAACTCACCAAGTTATGAGTTACCACTACAATGTCTATCTTCCTAAAGGATGGACTTTCTCCTGTGGAAATATTACTTACTTATGACCCAGGTAACATTACAGGAGGTCCCTGTGTAATCTCTCGCCTAACCATGACCATGTTTTCCAAATCTGACCTGATCATTAAAACCACCTAGCTACACAAATTGCTGAGAGACAGGAGAGATGTTAAAAACACCCTTAATGCAGATTGTAACCCTGAAATCTAAAGCCGAATACTCCGCCCTAGCGTACACCTTGGTAGGAGTCCCAGGCTTGGCACTGTATAATACCCGAGTAGTTAATGCTGTAGCCTGTTCCCTTGCAATAGGTTTAAATGCCACCTCACAGGCCCTAGAAGAGCTACTTATGGACAACCAGGCAAATAAGAAGGCAATCCTTGAGAGTAGAGCAGCCATTGACTACTTACTAATGAAACATGACTTAGGCTGTGAAGCTATTGAAGGTATGTGCTGTTTTAACCTATCTATGGCACTATGATCCATAAACATATAAAAGATTTACATGACTTAGTACAGGATATCAAACAGGATACTGGCTTCTTTGGGGATTGGACATTTGGGCTAGGAACATGGTTAACTTTACTAATTAAGAAAATTTTGTACTTTTTGCTATTAGCTGTATTTGTCATTATGGCCATTTTTCTAACCTTTAGATTTTTTTTCATGTCTACTAACCTCTCTATGTAAAAGCAAACTTACTGTTGGTCGTACCTTAACTTACATTCCAGCTCCGACTTCGGAAAGGTTTTATTATGTTACCTCGCCTAACAAATGAAGGAACTCTCCTTCACTGTTTCTGGTGGTCTCTCAGTCCAAGGGAACCGTGGAGAAGCAATAAATGAAAGTCCCACAAGCAGGCCTGGAAATACCTTGGACATTTGGGTGACCCTTGGATCAAAACAGGGGATTGTGATAGAATTTATCTTGATTCCAAGGCTCAAACTTATAGGTGTCATATAATGATATCCTATATTATAATTTGCTAACTTGGACTCTGGAAATGCTTGATGCTTAAACAACATACTTAAGACCATATATGTCTAGTTCCGGGAGTGGAGAGCCCCCACCTAAGATGTCTATTCTCTAATCTTTTTGTTCTTTCTTACCTTGGAACTTATTTGTTATATGTACATGACGTTCATCCCTTATCTGTACTCCCTTCCCATTACTGTTCTAAGAGTATTTGCATGTAAGCACTTATTTTTTAATGTATAAAACCAAGCTGATGAATAAAACCAACAGGTGTCTGGTGTCTAATTCTCGCTTCTCCAAGTGCACTTGTAACAACAATTTGGGCTTCTTCTGAATACAACAAAGATCAACATTCTGATCCACAACACTACTACCTACATCCATCGTACCACCAGAAAAGAAGGGACTCTGGTTTTTGGGAAGTTTCAGCAGCCACATACTACAATTGCAAGTACTGATATTCCACCTACCCCTCCAACCTTCAGTCTGCCCTGACTGACACAGACGCAGTAGACACATTGTTACTGATTGAACAAGAACAAGGGTTTGTACTAGCACCATTTACTCAACCCCCTTTCTCTAGCTGGAGAACCAACCCCATTGGTTTGGTCACAGGAAAAAACACACATAAACAGTCTAATTATAGACCTATCAGCACCACCTCCTTCGGTAGTGCCCAGCCTTAATTCTCTTTTCCCATCAGAAGAATTCTTGCTACAACACACTACCATAGATGATACCAACATATCTGCGGGTGTAGGCACCTGGCTAAGCAAGACTGACATTGTGAATGCCTTTAAACTACTTCCCATCCATCTGTCACTGTGGCACCTGTATGGCATTATATGGAGGGGCCTCTATTACTTTTTTACAAGGCTTACTTTCAGATCCAGGAGCAGCCCGAAGATATTCAACACTTTTGCAGAGACCTTATGTTGGCTGCTCTTGAATACTAGCAGGTGCCATAGCGTCATTCAATACCTGGATGATTTTCTGTTTGTACAGAACAATGCATCCCCCACAAAGCAGTCTAAAAATGGCAGTACACTTCAACTCAATAGGGGTACCAATATCTCCAAAAAAGACAGAAGGACCAGACACTGTCAAGCAATTTCTGGGTATACAGCTCGACTCAGTAGCAATGGAAGCCAGCCTCCCAAAGGAAAATATCACCATCACACAGGCCATAGAACATTACTTACGCATAGGCTCATGTAACAGGAGAGAGCTGCAGTCACTGATTGGGCCTCTGAATTTCGCCATGCGTATCATACCTCAAGGCAGAGCGTTCATTTAAAGACTCCTGTGCCTTCTTCCTACACTCCCAGATGACCACAACCGTACCCCGCTTAACCAACAAGCCACTGCAAATTTACACATGTGGAACATGTTCCTCGCAAGTTGGAATGGGGTAGATTCCCCCAACCATTTAGACTGATGCAGCGGCATCCACGGGGTTTGCGGTCATATTTGGGGACAATTGACTGTGGTGTAGGTGGCCGGAAGAAGTAAGCCAGATTGAGGGGTTCTTTAGGAACTCGGCACTCTTCGAGGTATACCCCATTGTAGCCGCAGCAGTGACATGGGGCCATCTATGGGCAGGAAGACCGGTGCGATGTTTCTCTGACAATTGGGCAATTTGCCATGTCATAAACAAAGGCTGGTCTTCATCCCTGATGATCATGAAATTTATCAGAAGACTGACGCAGTTGGCAGCCTGTCACCAATTTTATCTGGTATGCTACCATGTACCAGGCATTTATAACAGAGCTGCTGATCAGTTATCTTGTCTTCAATTTCAGGCATTCAGGAGATCACTACCAACAGCCTCACCAATAGCCATGACCGCTCCCATGCTCCAAGAATTAATCATGGACTAGAAGACTTGCTAAGTCATAGCAGGAAATTGGCAAAATTGGCGCTCTCAAAAAATACGGACAATGCATATGACAAAGCTTACATGTTATATAATAGGTTCATGACAGATCACCACCCAGCCAACTGGTTTGATACTACAACATTGGTGGCTTTCGCCACTTTTTGCCACAAAAAAAACTGAAATTGTCACACAACACTATTAAATTATACCTCACAGGCATCCAACAACACGTTTTCAGCTTTTCCCAACCACCAAGGCTTCCTCACACCTTAACCCATCAAAACCATCCTTAAGGGTATGTACAAAGCAAACGGTCCTAGTCCACAACGTAGGTTGCCTATCGACATACAACTGTTCAAACCTATTTCAGGCTTACTGGATACAACACCTTTTGAAACCCATACAAACTCCGTTATAAAAACAGCAATATACTTGGCTTTCTACGGATTTCTCAGACCACAAGAGTTCATTATCACGGGGCAACACGATGTTAAGAATTGCCTTCAATACGCAAACCTTTACAAACAACAAGACCATTGTGTGCTAAACTTACCCACAACTAAGGCCATTCAGTTGGGTCAAACAGTTCTTATACATTACTACCCCACCAAAAATTCATGGTGCCCGGTGAAAGTTTTTGACTCTTACCTACTGTCAACACCCCCTAACGACTTAATCCCTCTCCTATCACTTCACGGGGCTACCCTTACCACGTCTAAATTCACGGTATATGTATGGTTATTATTGACAGGACTCGGTATGAATGCCACCAAATATTCAGGGCACTCATTCAGGATAGGGGCAGCATCCACTGCCTCCAGCCAAGAAATCCTGGTACATGTGATCAAAACATTAGTCCGCTGGAAGTCGTCAGCTTATGCTGTTTATATACCTCCAATACAGGAGATAAGAAAGGAATTTGTTAAGATGTCCTCATAATTATGTTGGTATAATGTCATGTGATTTTGTAATAAATATCTTTTGGAAAATAAGATTGGTATTCCTTTTGCCCACTTATTTACAGGCCTATCACACACGTCGGTATTGGCACACCTCAACCGACTTTGCATATTAAAATAGTTGACTTAATCACTATTATGTTCCATTACTGAAATGGCTCCGAATACAAATTGGAAGGCTGGCCTGAAGTTGTGGGAGGGGCTGTGCACATTTAAAAGGGACTCCCCCTCTTCCCTACATTACCTAATTGGTTCCAGATGTTCTGCTGGCCCACCCTCCACTCCCTCTATACAGCTATATCTAAGATAGGCACACTTATTTACAGGCCTATCACACACGTCGGTATCGGCACACCTCAACCATCTTTGCTTATTAAAATAGTTGACTTAATCACTATTACGTTCCATTACTGAAATGGCCCCGAACACAAATAAATATATATATATATATTTGTGCTCAAGACAATAAAGCCGTATGTGTATTAATACCTTACTTGTTCATACTTATAGAGGTATATAAAACTTGGTGTGCCGAAACCGATTTATTGGTAGACCTGTAAATAAAGTGAGCAAAAGATGTATGCCAAAATAATCTATTCAATCAACAACAACTTATTACAACATAATATCATAATGCTAAGTGTTGCAATGCCTGTCTAATTTCTTTCTCGGGTTGTGGAATGTATCTACAGTAGGCTGTAGATTTCCAGAGCCCCAATGACTTAATAATATGGGTAGATGTGTTCCTGTAGGAGGCTGCTGAGGCTGCCCCAATCCTGAAGGAATATCCGGAGTAGTGTAATTCTGCCTTGTAAGGTAAGTAAAGGGTGATTCACTGTGTGGTAATAGGGAATTGTGATGGTTTGCCCAGGTTTACTTGTCTTGGTATGTAGTAGTGAGAGTAAATAGTGGTCTTCATATTTGATGATATGAGCAATTTTGATACATGACCTTAAAGCTGTAGTAATTATGGTAGTGAATTCCCTGGGCCTAAGGAACCCGTAAAAGTCTAATTATATTGTTACTTCTAAAGTTTGATTGGTCTTGGGTTCAAATGGTGAGTTATCCAAAAGGTCTGACAGTGATCTGAACAAGCTCCCATTAATAGATAATCTCTGTGGTGTTTGTGCTGTACTGCACCTCTGGATTCCTTTTAATAAGGTCTTGATTTGGTAAGATGAGATGAAGGTCTGTTTCCTTGGGAATAGTGTCAGCATGTGGTGTTGTAACCCTGTGAGGTAAAGTTTGATTGTGTTGTAGGACAGATGTAAATTGAGGTGGCAAAAGGACGCAAAAGCCACCAAAGATTTCATTGCGAACATATCTACCACCTGGAAGTCCCTAGTAAATTTAACAAAAATATCGACAGCTTGTTTGTATGCCCG